CATTTTGAACGGATATACATGTATCAAGCACCCCTTTTTTTCTGAAACCGCAGATTAACTCAATAAATAGAAATAAGTTTTACAACCCGAAGCATCAACTGGCCTTAATAGAGGAAATACAAGGGAGAACCGGTAATACACGCTCTAAAAAATGCAGATAATCAACTAAAGAGAACCCAAACGAACAATACAGACAACATACCAAAGACAAGTACAACCACTCGAGACCTTTAATACGTAAGCCAAAACAGGCCATAGACATATACTACAACAACAACTTGGGACAAGGTGCTAAAGCCACTGAACCTTGGTATTAACTGTAGCCTCCTCATCCCCAATAATAGTTAAGAACTTAAGATACAAGCTCCCTGTATCAAGCACCCCTTAATAGGTCAAAAATGGCACAAAACGTATACATCAGCCTCCTTGCAAATGAATGTGAAGTTAATTATTAAACTAATAAATGGGAGAGGTGTATATGTCAATCCTTCAACTTCCAACCACTTAACGTGATCAACATATAAAGTGATGTATCATCTATGTAAGACAATTAATTTCATCAATATTGCTTCAGACTTATTTCGCAATCTTCGATATTTTAATATTGTTTGGGACTTATTTCGTAACCTTCGATATTTTAATATATCTTGGCTGATCTAAGACTCAATCAGTTCGAGAAGTATAGAAAGAACATGTGGCGTGATACGTGTCAACCATCATAAACAAGCCAAAAAAAAAAAAACCAATTTTTATGACGTGGAACATTAATAAAATAAGAACAGAAAATGAAAGTGTTAAACCATGATGTTTATATTAATGGAACCATTTTTTTTAAATANATACTTTTCAGGTAATACACGTTGACTTGGTCATCGTGTCATTTTGCATAAGGCAATTTAACTCTTTCCTTTTATATATATATATACATATATGCGCGCACCCTTAACCCTTAAATGAGAATGGTAAATGAAAAAAATAAGAATAATTGTAAACAAATCAATTCATCATATTAGTGGTCATGATAAAATCAAATTTTACTAAATGACAGTTAAATATATGGTGACAATCTCGTAAATAAATGTACATATCATAGCCTAATGTATGCATTTGTCCACTCATTAATAGTAATTTAGTCATTTCACATTGTTCCACTAACTCACCCTCTTTAGTGGGTCCCACGCTAACCCACATACCATTCCCTTTTTCTCACACTAGCACAAACATAAGAAGTCAATCTTCTTCAGGCACACACACACACACACTCCAAACACACATAAATTCACGATGGTTGGCCGTAGCCCCACAGCCTTCTGCCACCAGTCCGTCGTCGCGCATCTGTCGTCCATCATCGGAGATGAATTCGTCACATGAGGCACCGACGGAAAAGCGACGTATCGAGCGTCGGCAAGTCGTCGTCTACTCCGCCTGCATAGCTCGAGATTGACGTCGCCATCGAACACACCACCTGATAGCTGGGGGAGTAGGAGTTGAACGGTGGAACGACCCCTCTGAGCTTGGCAGCGCCGGGCTAAGCAGGGAAGACGTGGGTTGGAGCAGGTACCAAGGCCGGCCAGTGGAACAAGAGCGAGGAAGACGGAGGAGTTGATGTGCAAAGTGATCGGACCGGACGTGGTCGACGGTGGGGAGAGACAGTCGGACAGTGGACAGGCGACGACGGTGAACCTGTGTTGAAGACGGCTGCAGCAAACCCCATGAAATTGGTTGTGAATTTGGTGACGGTAGTGGTGTGGACAGCGGTGGACTACGCTGACGGCGGATAAAGCGAAATTTCGACGGAGGAGCGCGCCATTCGACGGTCAACGGTCAGCGGCCAATCTAAATATATTTATTAATTTTTTGTTATATAACTATTTAAAATATAATAATTATATTTTTTATTATATAATTAATTTATATTTGAATTAATTAATATGTGTAATTGATATACTCAAAATCAATTGCTAGGTTTGAGTGTTATATACTCTAAGGAGTGTTGACTCATTTGATCCACCCTTATATATATGTGCATGTATAGTATGATCCAAAAGGTTAACTGTTATTTACATGAATTGAATCTGCTGGTTTAACTCATGTAGAGTAATTAATTGTTCTAGGATTAGGACCGAACCAACTGTTTTAGTCGAACCAACTTGTCTGAGACAATTAGGGCATGGCCGGCTGGCTCACTCTAGTTGAGCTGAGAATTTATATTGTTTTCCTGGATTAATTTGTTTATATGATTTAAAATTATTTTTGTGTATTGATCTCACCCCCAAACTGCCAACACCATCCTACAGATCCTCCACACGTATCAGCAGTTTACTGGGCAGAAGGTCAACATGGAAAAATCCTCCATTGTGTTCAGCAAAAACACTCCAAACTGTTACCAAAGGCACTTCTGCTCTATCCTCGATGGTATCCAGGTTAAACTCCCAACCAAAATACCTTTGTCTTCCCATGAGCATTGGCAAATCAACAGGGATACATTCGTATTTGTGACTGAGGTGGTCAAAAATAAAATGTCCAGCTGGAAAAACAAATTCCTCTCCACTGCAAGAAGATAATTTTTGATCAAATCTACCCTTTGTGCTCTACCTATTTTTGTTATGTCTTGCTATACTCTGCCCACTGGAATATGCTCTAACCTCTCTAAACTGATTGCTAACTTCTGGTGGAATTAGGATAACTCAGAGAAAACAGGTATGCACTGGAAAAAGTGGGACCTCATTACATTGCCACTGTCTGAAGGGGGGCTTGGTTTTGCTGATCTTAAATTATTCAATGAAGCCCTCATTATGAAGCAATTCAAGAGAATCCTTACTAAGCCGAACCTCTTAGCCAGCAGAGTACTAAAATCTATATACTTTCCAGGCTGCTCGCCATTTGATTGGAAAATACCACAAACTTGCTAATGGCTCTAGAGAAGATGGATGAAAACAAAGGCCACATTCACTGAGGGGTTTTGTTAAGTAGGAGATGGCAGAACAAACCGAATTTGAGAGCACCCCTGGATCCCATCCTTGCCTTCTCATAGGCCCTAGAACCGCAATCTCGTTGACCATTTCACTGACATTAGTTGTGTCTCTCGGCTGATGCTTGAAATGGAGATGGTTGGAATGAAGAATTGATAAGGAGTATATTCCCAGACTCCGAATATCAAACTATTTTTAGCATCACCACCATTGACAAACATAGAAAAGACAAGTTTGTTTGGAAATTTGGCAAGAAAAGATCTTTCACTGTGGCCTCTTCCTATGCTAACTTAATTCTCAAAAAAAGTTAGAGGCCTAGACACTGCTGAATCCAGATCTCACCAAATCTGGATGCAAAAGATCCGAACATTCAGCTGGAAACTAAAGGTAAAAAGGAAGATTAAACACTTCCTCTGGCAATGCTGCAACAAAATCCTTCCTGTCAACAGGAAACTGATCAAAAGAGGTGTGATGCTCGAACCTATTTGCAAAGTTTGTGGAGAAGCTGAAGAATATGTAGCACACCCGTTTTTAACTGCCACAGAGCACAGCTCGTATGGAAGCTATCCCCCATTTGTTGGAACATGGACCCTATCTGGTGGAAGCAGGTTTACCTCACTCCAAAAGACCCTGAAGCGGTGGACAAAGTCGAGCTTACCACTTATTTACTTTGGTGGCTCTAGAAGGTCCGGAATTTAGGGGTGTTTCAAAACGTTTGGAAACCTGAGAAAGAGATAGTAGATGCTGCTCTATTGGAGTGGGGGGAATTCTCTTCCATTTAATCTGTTTTATTGTTTGTTTTTTTCTTTGTCCAGTTCTGTTTTGTTTTCCTCTTCCTAGTTAGGCTCTGAGCAGTGGATAGTTGTGTTATTTTACAGTTGTTGCAGGGGGACATGGCCTCAGTATACTCTACTGCCATTAAGACTTATTGTAACAACATTATATTGATTTTTGAGTTGTGTATTGCCCTAGTCCCTTCTGTGAAGGTCTCCCTGTATTATTTCTATTATTTGGTTAGTTGGCCGCTCGAACATTGTACATTTTCAGTTTAATGTTACTATCGTTCCGAAAAAAAAAAATGAAATAAAATAAAATAAAATAAATAAAAATTCAGATATTCAACTCATCATAAAATTTACTTCATAAAATTTTCTTATATAGCTCCGCAATTTTGTCTGTATCGTGAACCTGCAAGGCTGCAACATGACAAATTTGGGCATTGAGTGGGAGGTACCTAATTCAGCATACTCCATCACTGCACATTTACTGTGAAATTAAATGGAATGGGAACATCAAATCAATCACGGAAAGGACCTCAAACTATACTTACTTGACGGCAAAGAGAAACTCGGGACACGGGACTATCAATGATATGATAAGAAAAAGCACCACACGGGCACATGACTTTTTGTGGCCAACTCCAGCACATGAAATTTTATTTTTCTCGAAAATGAATCGCTACCAAATATCTCTGGACCACTTCTCTACAAAGTGAGAACAATTTATGAATGTAAAATTTTATTTGTGTTTTGAGTTCCTGTATAGAGTTTAGACGACTGTCAGCCAAATTTTAAAAAAAAATAAAAAAAGGGAGCACAACATAATATAAATGATTTGCCATAAGTATCCTTTAAAGGCAACTGTCTGATTGGGCTAAATCCAAACATTCCACGCCTTCTCAATACTTCTTGGTCAGATTTAGAAGAGAAACAAGCACTTTAGCTTTTGCACCACTAAACATAAGAAATATTATTTGTCTGATAAGTCGCACTATTTTACGTTTAGGCACACTAATGTGTCGCATTTTGAGACTAGTGCGTTAGGTTTCAACTCTGCCCAGATCTCACCAAGTTTGCAGGAAATGTCCTATGTCAAGACAAAATACCTAGCCAACCTCAAATAATATTCATATCATGACAAACGATAAATGGTGTATACTAAGGAAAATAAATTCCAAATTAAGGTCGATACAAATTCAACAGACTAAGGAAAATAAATTCCATCAGTTAGTGTGTG